AATCAGACTCATAGTGATCCTCCTGTTTTCAGCCTCTCAAGTGCTGGGATTTAGGTGCAGGTGACCATGTCCAGTCTCAGTTGCCATCTCAGTGTGCCCCGGGGGTGGGGCCAGCATGGCACACCAGGGATCAAACCCTGGTCCCTGCACCTCCCTAAGCAGGTACTTTAATAAGCTAAGGTATTGGGCCGGCCCTAGGGTCTCCTCAATTTCTTAACTGCACAGGCGGGGCTTATGATCCTTCTACTTCAGCCTCCCAGAGTGCTGAGATTACAAGCGTGGGCCACCACACCCTGATCTGTACACTTTTAATTAATGATGAATTGAGACTGTTAAATGCAAAGCACTCTACAAGGCATGAAAGGAGATTCAAACTATTGTTAGTTAGAGGTCAGGAATTTCTCTGGAGAATAAAAGCAGCTGAAGGCAGCTTCAAGAGAATTGCTGGACTCTCAGTAGACAGAAGCCATGGAATCAAAGGCTAAAGGTATATTTCTGCATTCATTCCTTCTTTCCCTCATCTAGAAAATACTGTGATAAATGGAAGCCTTGCGAGTTTTTTTTTTTTTTTTTTTAGAAATCAGTGAGAAATAAGGGCGGATTTGCTCTTGAAATAGAACATAGACCTAGCTTACTGTGACAATACAGCTTCCTTTGAATGTCTGTGCCTACAAATAAAATATAGGGATGAGAGTAGTCACTACTTTCCAAATTCTCTCCATCTTTTAGTCCACAAAAATGATACAGAATATTACACTAGGATGTAAAGTAGCACTCCTGAGGACGGTGCGAGCCAGGGAGCCCAAGCAGCTCCACACGCTCTGCCTTGGCAATGTGAGAAGGATGTGCAGTCAGTGCACACACAAGGTGGAGTAGGAAGAGAGAGCAGGTTCCAGCCCCAAATCCAGGGTGAGCAGAGGGAGGAGGCGTGGCGGTCCCACTTCGCGCCTAGTATTCAATTCTGCTCCAGTAGAACATGGTACCCAGGAGAACCCAAAACTAGAATAATAATAAAAGGGAAAAAACAAAAATAGATTTAAAAAATTTTAAGAAACATCTTTTACTTGGAAAAAAAAATGAGGTTAGGTTCATTCAGGCTTAGGTGACCCTGCCTTTTTTAAGAGTAGTCTTTTCCTGAGCAATGTCTTATGGGCAGATGTGACACCAAGTCTTTCTGTTCTAAAGTATCACTTATAACCTGCCACTCTGGGTCAGTTTCCTTGTTCCCCACTTTTCCACCCTAACTCCCATCTCAGGTTCCCTGACTTCTGAGGTGGAACTTCTCACTTCTGGTCGAGGCTATACCCTATTCCTACCCTAGAGAAGTTTTTTCCTCTTGCCATCAGGTCTACTTAGCCTCTAGTACATTTCAGTTTCTAGTAGGTACCATTTAGAGCTGGATTTCTAGTATCAAACCTCTCCTCCCAAGGGACAGCTGGTCTGGAACAGCCGCCCTCGCAGGGTGTCACAGAAGGCAGCATGTCTGACTCAGTCAAGGAGTTGGGTTACGTGGGCTTAGTATCAGACCTCCCACCTACTTTCAGGGATTTAGCTTTTGTGAGCCTCATTCCTGCATTTGTAAAATAAACAGAACATCTTATCTACCTCCCTCTGACAGAGGAATGAGTGAGATAATAAAATAAAACAATAGCAATAATGGGACCTAAGGCTTATTAGGGGACCTGGTATCCATCAGGCACTCTTGTTGCTAAAACCTTTGGGATAGCCCAAGGCATGGAAGGTCTCAGCCAAGTCACGGAGTACACAGGGGCTGGGTTCTAAGCCAGGGATTAAGCCTTATAGTTGATTTCATCAGGCCCTACAGGAAAGCAGCAGGTAATGGGACATGCTAGGCCATCTTCTTAAACACCATTCCTTGTAAGATGAGAGACTGGGGGCTACCTGTGGAGCTACATTGGTGGGGATTTCATATGAAAACAATTTGACATGATATCTTACCCAGGGAGGAACTGGGGTACCTTTCATTCATTCAACAAATTATTGAGTACCTACTCAACATCAGTGAATATGATTTTTCAGTGTTGCATAAATTAATCCATCAACATTTAGAAGATCTGAATAGTACAGTGGACCAGCAGTCTCCCAAATAGCCAATTCATGATATTACTGAATTATGCATGGATAAAAGATTTAGGTAAAGTTTAAGACTAACCAGTGTAATGTATTTTAATGCAGCAAAGTACAAAAAGTTCACTAATATACTTTCAGATTCCATTTTACAACTGATTTTAAGAAACGTGGGGAGTTTGGCCTAGTATCAGGATATTCACAGTTATCCTGCTTTTGCAACTATGCATCACTGTGAAGGATCTATTTTCTTCCAACTTGGTTACATATTACAGCAGATTGAATGAAGGAGTCAGTACAGAGATCCAGCTGCCTTCTACTAAGCCAGAATTGGATGAGATTTGAAACACTGCCAGTTTCCTCATGTTTTGTTTTATAAAATTGTTCTTTTTACCACCAAAAATATGTTGTTTGTGTTAATTTATCATAGAATTATTTTTAAATGAATTAATAAATATTTTACCTGTGACTTTGTTAATTTCCAATGAGTGTAAATATCAATAGATATTGGTCATAGAGACAAAAGCTTTTTGGAATCCTTAATGTATTTTGAGAGTGTCAAGGAGTTCTAACATTAAGAGTTTGAGACTGCTAACCAAATGCAAGGACTTTTAGTCCTGACAGCAAATAATCTGGAATAATCTGGAGAGGAAAAAGGAAGCCTAGGACCTGCCTCACCTCAACTGACCAGAATCTCAGAAACTGAGAACTTTTAAAAAAGCTCCTCTCTGGGATTTTAATGTGCAGCCAGGACTCAGAAGCACAGCCCTGGTCTCTTGTTTTCTGTACATTAGGTAAAGGGGGCCGTCGGGAAAGATGAACTAGCAGAGCAGCTTGTAGGGAGGAGCTATGCAGGTTCCTGCTGGCCAGAAGCCCTGTCGGGAGGTGTTTGAGACCTGATGTCCCGAGTTGATGAGATCTAGAGCATTAGGCTGCAATCACTAAGAAGTCCAGGTGAGGGAGGAGGCTGTCTAGCCCCCTAAAGCTGAGTGCCCCCAGGCAGTCTGTATAAAGATAGGTACTGTATATCTTTTTCCTGATAGGGAATTAACTACCTCACGCCTCAAAAAACGCCACTGTTGTTGTTCAGGGGCCAGAATTTTCCTGAGTAGCATTCCACTGCAAGATTTCTGTGTCTAGATCTTCTAGTGTGATTGTGATGACCGTGGTAATCTTAGAGTCAGCCCCTTGAGCAATAAAATGTGTGCAGGGCACTACTCACAGTCCAGCAGAGAATGGCAAACCCAAACCAGGCGACGCCCCAAGCATGGCGGTTCATCGGTCCAGAGATCAGTTCATAGCAGCCCTGGGGGAGGGGTGATCCATGGTGGTGGGAGAGGAACCAGGAAAAAAGAGGCGAGAGATGAGTGAGAGAACAGGTTCTTACTGGAATCAGTAACCCAGAGTCCGGTTTCACAACAGCCTATTGTCATGTCCCTGTGGGGAGGCAGCTGCTAGAAGTGTCTTGGTAAGGGAGCAGAAATAATGCTGTTGAATAATTACTCTATGTTCCTCTTATCTTTGTATTTATCACTCTTTTTTTTTTTTTTTTTTTTGTACCAGGGATCAAATTCAGAACCTTGTTCTTGGTAGGCAGGTGCTTATGCTGCTGAGCAATTTCCCTGGCCCCAACATTTTTCATATTAAACATTTTGACAGTATACTTTTTTAAAAAATTATATATTTTTTCCTTCCCAAAAGGTTTTATTGATGACTTGAAGGCAGAGTTGTATTTAAAATCTGGTTTAAGTAAAAATGCTTCTGGTGCATGAAAACCAGAGGACTTCCGTTGCCATTTGAAGATAATCATTAACAGAACTCCTACCCTATGCTCCTTCAATTCTCCTTTCACATTGTATTTCAACATATCCTTATTGGATTCCAGTAAGAACTTAAAAAGCCATGGTGTGTATGCAAAAGGGTGATTAAATTTTGTCTGCTCATTCATATCTGTCGTAACCCAGTAAGTATTTACAGGTGGCATACTCTGACTCAGTTGCTATGCAGAATCCTGCAGTGATGTCCGTGAGGCTAGAGCGGCCACCCAAGTGACCACCCCTGGGCCCCTGGGATCACAGGGTATGTTTCAGAAATGTGATCCAGGCCTGACCCCATGAACCATGAGCTCCAGAGGCAAATGGTTGAGATTTGCTAGCAAATGCAAGCCAATGCCGGTGAATGTCCCAGGGCACCCATGAAACTTAAGCTCTGCCCAACGGCTATGGTGGCCATTGGAGAGTCTCTCCTTGATGATTCTTCTTGTTCTTTGTACATGCTCTGTTTTTGCTGTTCTATTACTTGTCCCTTTTCTCCTTTTTCATTACATTTCCATTTACCTAAATACCCAAATTTAAAAACCTCAGAATTATCCTTAAGTTTTTATCCCTTCTCTAACATCCAACACTTAACCAAATCCTTTTTGGACCATTTAAAAATATATCCCAAATCCAAACCCTTCTTGTCATTCCCTAGTACCACCTGGCCCCCCTTGCAGTGAGGGCCTCACTACAGAATTACTGCAATAGCCTCCTGGTTTCCCAGAAGCCTGACTCCGCTCAGGATCTATCCTTGTCCTCTAGCCATCCTCCATTCACTCTCGTCTCTCCAGACTCATCTCTTCTGATGCTACTCCAGAGAGTCAGGAATGTGCCCTCTGCCCACAGGGCCAGGGCCTTCGTCATCACCACTTCCTTTGTTTAGACCCATGCCCCTTATCTTCGGTGTCTTGTTTCCTTCCTTACTTCAGAACTTTGTAAATATCATCTCAGTGAAGCCTTTCCTGACAACTGTAGCAATAATATCCTTTCCCTATCATAATCTGCATATGTTAATCTGTTTTATTTCTGCTCATGGCATCCATTGCTGCCTGGGATTATCATGTCATTGTGGTAACATGTTTATTATCTGTCTCCCACACTAGCAACTGCCACTAGGGCAGGGATTTCATCTTGTTGATGGTTGAATCTTCAGAGCCTAGAGCAATAGGCTGGCACAAGTATATACCTAGTAAACATTTACATGATGAATGGGATGTGATATTATGTAATGACGACAACAGAGAATCATCTGTAACACAATTGATGGTTCACAGTTCTATCCTGAAAATCTTGGGAAATGATTTTATCTATCTATCTATCTATCTATCTATCTATCTATCTATCTATCTATCTATCACAAGACAGAAATAGGTTTGCCTTCATTATCATTCATCTGTTGATGGGTATGAAGGCTTCTTTTGTCTCTTCTAGAGAGGAGATAATGATCTGTACTTATGACAGTTCAATAAAACTTATTTCGACACCCAGTTCTTTTCTTAAAATTTATTTTAATTTTTAAGTTTTTGGTACAGAGTCTTCTTTGCAGCTTGGACTTGTACAGACTCTCTTGTCTCACCGCATCCCCCAGTGCTGGGATTACAGGTATGTGCCACCCCCCTCCCCAACTGTACTTGGGATTGAACTTGGGGCCTTGCACTTGCCAGGCAGGTGCTTATACTGCCAAGCTACCTCCCCCGCCGCCACACCCCGTTCTGATGTTGAAATACTGAGAACAGTGTACCAGTCATAGGAGAGATAGCTATAGTTCATACTGTGATTAGAAGCAGCACATTCATTTGTATAGCAGCTTAAATGTAACTTATGAAAAAAATGTCAGCACAGTGTTGTGGAGCTAAATGAGATTTGGTCTGGACACAGCAGCAGTCACTGTCATTCCATGTCCCTTTCTGGACTACTGTGTACATCCTAGCCTCAGACCCTGCCAGGTGGAGCAAGTCCATTTGCAGCGCAGCGCCTGTCCCTCTACATGTGCAGTTTATGTCACTTACTCAAATTAATCAGTAGTGTGCTAGGCTTCCTCAAGGGGTCACTCCAGGTGGGACGTGTGTCCAACGTCAGCTGAGGATGATGGCAGGTGTGTGCGAGCTCTCATGGGGGGATTCTGGGGGCTCTTACCAAGTGTTTAGTAGTGTGCAGCCTGCTTTGGAGCCAGACTGCTTGGGTTTCAATCAGGACTACACTTTACCAGTTATACGTCCTTCGAAAAGCTATCAATCACTGTCTCCTTTCTCAGTTCCTCACCTGTAAAATAGGGCTCATACAGATGTCAACTTTTGAGCATGAAAGGCGTTAGTGTGTGGATGGCCCCTGGAACAGTGCCTGGCCCTTGATAAGAACTTAATAAATATTTCATGATTATTGTCATATCATTTTCATCAGCCTGGAAACCCTTGTTCAAAATCCACCTATATGTAAACCATCTTTTAAAAATTGTTTATTTACTCATTTAGACTGTGTTTCATTTTTTTGTCCTTGCTTATAATTTTATCTTTACTTTTTTTTTTTAGTTTCTTTTGTATTAGCATGTGTTTGTGATGTGTACTAATTACATGCATCTTGGGAAACTAGTACATGTACGTCCTGTATCTCAATCAGTTTTACCTCCTGTTCTCGTCCCTGTCCTCTTTCTCCTCTCATTCTTAGACCCCTGCAGACTTCATACACTTTCTAAGCCATTTTTGACTCACACCACACCAACCTCATATTTTGTTAAGACCAGCCAGTATTACCACTGACTAAGGAATGTGGTTATACAACTATCACCTTTACCCAGAGCAGTTGCCCTTCTTTATTTATTTTTTCCTTCCTTTGGAACTATCAGGACGCTCTTTTTTATATTATAGCCCCCAATTTACAGTTCACAGAGATAAAGCTCATATTTAATGGAAATATGCTTTAGAATGTCAACTCTAGGCATTATACAAAGTGTCTTAATTTATACAGAGTTGTACTTTGCTCTATTATCTTCTGTTGATTTTATTAAAATGTAAATTTGCCCATATCAGCTATAGTTTAGCATTCACATTTTAATAACAGGAAAGAAAAGAATTAACACAAGATTTAGGAAAAAAGATCCAGACTCCTTGATGAAAGATTATTACTTATAGTACATTGTCATTTTCTCTCATAAAGTGCAGAAGAACCCTCTGGCAGATCTTGAGAGCGGAGAGAACTCACCTGATTGTGGTAATAACCAGGCACTCCCAGCTTGCAAGCCTCCAGGTTCAGTGGTTCTTTGAGGTTGTTCATAACACAGCACTGCCGAGGCCAGGGATAGTCTGCATCGTTGTTCTCAGCCCGGAAGGCAGATGTGTATTTCTGCCAGTCAGATGGACCATTTACGCCACAGCAATGGTCCTGTCAGTGATAGAAACAAAATTCCCCTTCACGGTCCTTTCTAGAGCTATCAGTGTAACAACTCAGATTTTATAGAAGAAAGGAAAGATGGAAAGTATACCACATCTGATGTTTAAAAAGTTCCCCCAACCAGAGCTGGAGATACCTCAAAGTTCACCAAATATTTTTAATTTATTGCTTTCTTAGCCATTAATAAATTCCATAGCGCCTCACATGTTATATACATTCTTTAAACCTCATTTTCCTTACTGTAAAGTGGGATACAGTTCCTATTTCACAGAGTTTTGGGAAGAATGAGTGAAATAATATATTTAATGTATTGAGTCCTGTATTAGTCCACTTTCCCATCACTGGAACAAAATCCCTGACACTAGCAACTAAAAGAGGAAAGGTTATTTTGACTCATGGTTTTCAGAGGATGCAGTCCATTGATGTCTGGCTCCAAGGCCAAAGGGCCTGGCACCCCATAATGATAGGAAGCAGAGAGATAAGGAAGGAAGGCTTGGAATAAGAACACCCCTTCTGGGTTGTGCTGTAGTGGCCAGCTCCAACCAGCACAGTTAGGTCTGAATTTATCAGTGGGTTAATGAGGGTAGCTCCCTTGGGATCCAAGGTGCTATTTGTCTTGCAAAAGCCCTACCTCTGAACACATAAGACTTGGGGGGTAGTTAGGTACAAAATGGTTCATAGTAACCCTTAAAAATGTTTACTATTATTAATACTCCTTTTTTTTTCAGTACTGAGAATTGAGACCACTCTTATTTTACTAAGTCACCAAGTTACCCAGGCTAGGCTCAAACTTGCAAGCTACCTGCATCAGCCTCCTGTATTGCCGGGATTACAAGCTTGCCTTTCTATGCTCAGTATAATACCAATATCTTGATAAAATAATACAAGAAATATACTTATTACATTATATATGAGAAAATTTAAAAGCAGAACATCAAACATTTTAGTGATGACACAATTATGAGTATTTCTTGTTTTACTTTTCTATATTTTAAGCATTTTCTAGAGTAATTGTGAATTATTTTTATTTTTTTATTTTTATTTTTTAATTTTAGGGAAGAGTCTACAGGGTGTTAGGGTCTCACTACTAGATCGGACTCATAGTGATCCGCATGTTTACAGCCTCCCAGGAGCTGGGATTACAGGCGTGCACCACCACACCCAGTCTCAATTGCCGTCTCAGTGTACCCCGGGGGTGAGGCCAGCACAGCAGGTCTGGCATTGAACCCCCAGCCCCTGTACCTGCTATCTGTTGAGCTACTTGGCCGGCCCTTGTGTTGTTTTTATATTATAAGAAAACAAACTATAAAAATGTAAAAACATAATGGCACTTGTTTGTGCCTCTATATGGAAAAGGCAAATAAACTGTCCCATAACCAAGATCCTTATGCTCTGAGTAGAATTGAAGATAGAAGATAAAACAATTCATTCTTATTACACATTCTGCTTAAATGTTTTAAGGGAAGAAATTAAAACTATGGAGATCTCTCATCTTTTAGAAAAAATGTATTCAAACAAACTTAATGATAAAAACTATCTTTAAACGATGCCCACTTTTGCCATTGGATAGTAGAAAATACCTAACTAGATGCATTCTGGTAGAAAATACTTTTGTTTGAGCCAGGCTTATTTCAAACTAGCATTTAAATGGTCCACAAAAGAGTACAGGGTCCAGAATTGAGCTTTATAGCTGTCCAACGTTCAGAGTTTGGGAAAGGATATAAAATCCAATCAAAGAAGAAAAGGTGGGTAGTGTGACAAATGGTGATGGGACTGCAAATAAGGTAAGGACAGAAACTTTACTATGGTATTTGGCAGGATGCAGTAAATGCTAAGTGCGCTAAGGATCATTTTAGTAAAGTGCTGGGATAAGAAGCCAATTGTAGTTGGATGGAAGCAGCTGAGTGGTATAACACTGAATAGCAAGTGTAGGTGTCTCTTTTGAGATTTTCCATGAAATATAATAGTGGAACAGACTAGTGGGTGAGTGTTGGAAAGAGTGTTTTGCAAAGGTGTAGGACTGAAGCTGTTGTTGCATGCTGATGTGAGGAGAAATGAACGAGGGAGATCAGAGCAGGCAAGCTTGCTGGAGCAAAGCAGAGAGAAGGCAAGGACTTGTAGAAAAGAGAGTGCACTTGTCATAACAAGAGAAGAGCAGTACAAGAGTGTAGATAAATATAGATGGACAGATGTGAGAGAGTGGCAATATGAAATAGTGGCAAGTGAATTTTCTGGAAAAAAGTCCTAAGATATATACAGTACCCATTTAAACTTCGTGGTCATAAATTTAAATTTCAATTAGCATGGTTGTGTGCCTTTTCCCAGCAATGTTCAGCTCTTAGGTTGCCTGTCTGTGAAGAGTGGGTCAAAAGTTGTCAGTATTTCTTAAATACTAATGAGGAAAGACAGATATTAGGGAGCAAAGAATATGAAAAAGCTGATAGAAAGTGAAAAAAATGAAGGTTCTAATGGTGTGAATGTTAATCCTGAATTGTTAACTTCATTGGTTAAGAAAGGCCTAGTAGTCAGCCTGATAGCTCAGCAGACTAAAACACCTACTTGGGCAGAGCATAGTGGCAAGGGCTCGGTCCCCAGAGTGCTGTGTGGGCCCTGGCCCTGCCCCTGTCCCCCAGGTTGCCTGAGATGTCGATTGAGACTGGGCGTGGTGGGGCAAACCTGTAATCCCAGCTCTTGGGAGACTGTAAACAGGCGGATCACTATGAGTCTGATCTATGTAATGAGACCCTGTAGATCCTGTATTCCCCCTGTACTAAATGCATTAAAAAACAAAACAACAACAAGAAAAAAAGATGGCATTCTTTCTGGGGCTGGGGAGATAGCTCAGTAGAATACACAAGCTCAGGGTCCTGAGTTCAATTCCCAGAACCACAAAAAAATAAATAAATAAAAATAAAAAATAAAAACAAAAGAAATGCTTAGTAAAGTATATTGGCAGTGCAGGGTGAATTTTGGAAGTGTGGCCTTGGGTATTATATCTGGCCCCTCACCCTTTGCTCTCTGGCACTGACCTGCTCTGTCCTGGCTGCCATGAACTAGGCAGCTTGGCTCCATCACACCCTTTCTGCTATGATATTTCTGACTTGAGGCCTCCTGAACATAAACTGAATCTCCTGAAACCATGAGCTAAATGAAACCCATCCTCCTATAACTTTTGGTTGCTAGGTATTGGGTTTCAGTGATGGAAAAGCAAGTTATTACAGATCATTAATATTGAGAGTAAAATCAGTGTTGTTATTGTACCTGGCTATGTGGTTTAGAAGCTTTCAAAGCTGACTTGTTGGAAGAATTTGGAAAGGTTTGTTGACAAGAAAATCCCTAGAAGGGCCTGCCAAATAGCTCAGTGGATTAAAGCACCTGCAAGCAGGCACAGGGGCCAGGGGTTCGATCCCCATACCTGCCCTGCTGGCCTCAGGGTGAATTGAGACTGGGCATGGTGGTGCATGCCTGTAATCCCAACTCTTGGGAGGCTGTAAACAGGTAGATCACTATGAGTCTGGTCTAGTAGTGGGACCAAGAACACCCTGTAGAAAAAAAAAAAAAAAAAAAAAAAAAAAAAAGAGAGAGAGAGAGAGAGAGAGAGAGAGAAAGAAAAAGAAAACCCTTAGAATGTTGTAAAATAGAGCCTAATGAATACTTTGGGTTGTTGCTCAGAAGACTAAAATGTTCATAGGGATGGGAACAATGGAAGCCAGGCTCAAGAAGTTTTAGCTGGGAACAAACACTCTCTTGGCATTTGGACCAGAGGTCATGCATGTTACAGTCTCACAGAAAATTTGTCTGTTTTTCCCATGCCTGAGACACTGTAGCAGTTTGAGATTAAGGGCAGTGAATTAATCTGGTGGAGGGAATTTCAAGACAGCCCAATATTTGTGGAGTGGTATGGTACTCTTGGCTGCTATTAGCCAGATTTATAGTGAGAATTGGGGGCCAAAAGTAGAGCAGATTTTGAAAACTTAATTTTTGCTCAGAAAGACTCACGTGTAAAGTTGAGGCCAAAGGAGGTATAGCTGCTAAAGAGATTAGCACCATTAAAAAGAAAGCCTTGTATAGGGACAAGATATGCTTGGATAGGGACAAGAGGAATGAAGGCATCTCTGGATTTAGCAAGGACCTACCCATTTCAGACTCTAGAGTCCAAAAGTATTTATCTATTTATTTATTGCAGAACTGGGGATTGAACTCAGGCTCTTGCGCTTGCCAGGTAAGCGCTTATTCTACTGAGCTATCTTCCTGACCCAGAGTCCAAAAGTATTAACATTCCATTTGAGAAGAGAATACCTAGAACCACTACTAGAGGTGGATTACCTAGAAAATTGGTACCCTTGGATTCACTTCATTGCATTCAGCTATCCAAGAAGTCAGAGGCCACTTTAGCCGTAGTCTATAGGGGCCTGATTATTGCCTCTGCTGACAATAAACTGCAACATTATCCCTGTGATGATGGGCTGGCATGCAAAATGCAAGAGGTGTGGTCAGGAAGTCTCCATTCAGATTTCAAAGGAAAGACCTGGCAGACCAAAAAGGAGCCCCTGAGGAGGGAGTGTGTGAAACTGTGGAAATGAAGCCAAAAGTACAACGGAGATGCCAGGAACATGAGTTATCTACCAAGGATAGCTGCAGCCTGACAGTGGAACTAGCCCTAGAGAGGGTCTATAAGGGCTGCAAGGCCATCAGGATAGGGGTGCCCAGACCCTACAGAAACCACATCTTACCACTGTGTCCCCTGGACATTGGACATTGAGGGCTATGTGAGTTAATGTCTGCCTTGCTGAGTTTAGGTCTTGCTGTAGTCTAATTATTTTCTATCTCCCATTTCTTGCTTTTTTCATTGGTAATATTTACCTTATGCCATTGTACCTTGAGATTGTATAACCTGATTTTGATGTTCATATTGGTTGATAGCTAAGACTTTGCTTTGAGTCTCAGAAAAAACTTGGACTTGGACTTTAAAAAAGTTCTGGAACTGTTGACTTTGAGGAAGGGATTATTGCATTTCCAGTTGTATGTAGGATAGTTTTATTATGATAGGTGGAATTATGAGCTTGCTGTTACCTTTATTTGGTAATTAAGCTTGGTCAAAGGTGATGTGTTTAGGTGTGAAGTTGACAAGTGTTGAATTGTGGCTTTTAATCTTGGTTTATCAACTTCACTAGATTATGAAATACCTAATAGATAAAGAAAGCATGTTTTTGGATATCTCTGGGTAGATCATCAGGTATGAACTTCAGGGCCTCACCTCTTCCTCTCCGACACTGTTTTCTGCTCTGTGTTTGCTGCTATGAACTCAACATTGTTACATTTTTTAACCATGGCATTTCTGCTTTGGAGCCAGCTGACCATGTACTGAATCTCCCAAAACTATGAGCTAAATTAAATCTTTTTCCTTTCTGTTTTGGGTGTCAGGTATTCCGTCTCAGCAATGGAAAGCTAATACAAAGTAAAAGTTATTGCAGTAGTGATATTAGAGGCTATGAAAGAAATTACAGAAGGTAGTGGTCAGAGAGTGGGGTTTTCTTAGGTAGTACAGTTGGTGGTGACAATGCATATGACTGTGGAAGAGAGTGACTGAGATGGGGCAGAGGAGACTATATTTGGAAAGGAGTAGGATGCAGAATCGAGAGAACAGATATTTTTTGAGTCATCTCTGTGGATGCTGAAGCCTCATCCTAGGTGGAATGATGGGCATGTCAGAGTGGACAGTGAATAAGATAGTTGAAATTCCTAATGAAGATAGAAGAATAACTGGTTGGAGGGTAACTGATAAGTAATCATAATAAGAAGGGATAATGGGCAACACACATTGATGACATGAACTTTAAGTATCTGAAAGAAGAAGAAACAAAGGGAGGAAATGCAGCAGAGTGGTTGCCATGTGGAGCCAGAGGGCATCTAGCCACTTTGCTCATCCCATGGTACATGAGCTATGCAACAAAATAACAGGGTGAGACAATCAGTGTCACTAAGAGATAACCAGCATTCTTGAAAAGCTGAAGTAGAGTCCAGGCTATCAGATGAGTTTGCTGATGACAAACTGAGAAATTGGTGTGGTGTCAGAGAAAGGGAGTGGGGACCAGTGAGGAGTTGGGTTATATCAGGGATTACTAGAGGAAACCAGCTTATGCACACAGGGCTACAGAGGAGCAATGCTTAGGAGGACTTAGATGTCTGATGACTTTTGAGGTAAGCTTGGATAAATGGCATGATTGACAGTTAGAAAAAGTTGAGTGATTAAATCAAGTCATATCCTCTGGGCCTTAGCAGAACTAGTTCACAACAGATAGAAAAAATTCCACAAAAGGTAAGGCAGGCAGCAATTGCTATTTGAGTTCACTGTGGGGGCAGAGAAACTATTTTTCATTTAATATAAATATGACTTGAGTTCTACGAGGCTGAATGTATGATTAATCTCAGTTTCTTGACAATGCTAGTAGTGCCATAAATGTAAGCTAATCAACATCATTGCTTGCAATAAAATAAAGATAGAAGGGCCCTACTGGGTCATGTATATAACATCCCCAGTATCCCTCAGTAAATAAGAGGCATGTATGACTTTGCCTGTAACAAATCTCTGAAGGAAATCCCCCTGGTGGCATTGACTTCACGCCCAGCCACAACCCCTGAGTGCCAGTTTCTGTGTGACCAGGTCTTTCCCAGGACCCAAGGCCTTACCTGCAGCATGAGCCTGTCCCAGGTTTTGGTGACACCATTGTTTTTCCATTGATCATCGTTGGTTGGAGGGCTGTTGTTCTGGTACCTCACCAGCATCTGCTTCAGGAAGAGGTTGGGTGTGAACTACATGGGGGACAGGTGACACAGGAGGGAGAATTAGCACTTAACAACGCAGAAAGAGAAAGTATTTTTTTCTCCTTGTATTGCTACTGAACATTCCCTTGGAACAAAATGATATTCAGAGGCACCAACTACCATGCAGTTGACTGAGGCTGCTCTTTGGGTTGCCTGAAAGTCCCCATGTTGGGAGGTGACTGACGTCTTCAAAGAAATCACTTCAAGATGAAGATACTGTGGGATGGCATGGGCTGGGGCAGTGGTAGGGAAGCTTTTAGAGCTTTCAATGATCCCAACAGCCTGCTGTGGCACATGTGCCATGGATTCCCACCACTGGGCGAGGGTGACAGCGAAAGGAAGATAAAAAGATACTGAGCTGACAGTGAGTGTGGGATGCAGTGAAAGGTGGACCATCCCACAGGAGAGCCAGCGGCCACGCACAGCGATGATGAGAATGGGGATCTCCAGTGTGGCCCTGGGAATTAGGCTGCCTGCCTTCAAATTTCTTGCTCTTTCAGTTGCCAGCTGTGTATCTTTGGACAGCTTACTTTAAATTGCTGTCTCATTTTTTTCATTTATAAAATGACAAGTGATACTGCCTATTTCTTAAGGTTATGAGCATTAAGTACAATTATATGTGTATTATTAATGCACATATCAGCATGCATTGCACATAGTACGGGCTTAATACACATCAGTTATGATATTGTTATGATAATGGTGATTCCTGTTATCAGTTTTGCTTTATGCATTCTGGGAGCGTACTCACAAAGTCTCGTTGCGTTGCCGCTGTGATACAAGACGCCACTTCAAAGCCATATACTATAAACATCAGAATGAAATACTGGAAAGGAAACAAAAAAAAGGCATTACATTTATCCCCCAAAGAAAGATTTCCCCAAATAATAATTGCTATACTTTTCAACACATTTATCTAAGTACAGCCATTCAGCCATTCACGTAATTACTCCATAGACCATCTTTGACCAGCTGCTTGAAATGGAGCTCAGTGCAGGGAGTTGGGAATAAGGCTTGGTGTTGGTCAGCTTAATTCCTTGCCTTTCTTCAGAGCACAAATGGCCATTGAGTACACAGCTCTTTTATCTGGTGTTCTGAATTTTTGTTTTAACTGTGGAAACGAGGTGTGTGTGTGTGTGTGTGTGTGTGTGTGTGTGTGTGTGCACAATAGCATGTTCAGGGGCATGCTGGAGAGTCTTACAGTACCATCCAAGAGGCAGAGCCTTCTAAATCTCCTCTGACTGCAAGATATTTTCTTTACCATTTGCTGAATATTTAGAATCACAGAGGTCAGAAAAAAGATCACTGTTTGACACCCAGTGTCCCGCACCAGCACCCAGTCTCAACAGAGCAGAGCCCGCGGACCCTGCCACGCAGCATTTCACTGCCTCCTCCTCTCACACTCGCTCCAGTGACGCAGGCTCAGGAGCGTGAGATGGAGCCGAGGGCGTGCAGGAGTAGTGTAGATGTAGACGTCGTGTGCTCACGAAGCGCCTCCACATCACACTTGCCCCTGATTCTAGCTGGAAAATAGCGGAATAGCAAATGGCCTCCGATTCTGGGTGGCGACCGCTGGCAAGAGCTCCGTCTGCCTTCCTCAGCTCTGCACATGTGCTTCTCTTCCTCGTGTCCTTCTTGGGAAGGGGCTCTGCGGTCAGAATCACGGAGGGAGAGCAGAAAATGCTGTCTTCCCGCTTAGGCTATGTGAAGCTCCGGGCAGGACCCTCTTCTTTCTGCCTTCACTACCTGGCCAGAGCAGAGCCCTTGCTGTAGGCTCAGGAGATCTTCAGAGACCCCGTAACAGTTTTTCCTGCGTTGGCTGCTGCCTTACTTGTCAGGAACTTTGCTGACTTCACTTACAGAGCTTCACTTAGCGGTGCTCTGGAAGCCGGCGAGGCACAGGGTGCAGATATTTCTCCTTCAGCTGCCAGGAGGGGGGTGCTGACACCTTCACTCCCAGCTCAGTTTTCCAGGCTGTGTCAAGCAGACACAGGGCTGGCTCAAAGCAATGCTGGGGTGCAGGGAAGGCTGTCTGTGAGAACGTCTGCCTCTGTTGCACTGCATGCCTTCCCCACACTCCACATGTGGGTACATTTGCCCTAGAACTAATGACACAAGCAAACACACAATGCAAATGTTCTGCATTCCAGGGTTCAAAGACAATGGTTAGATCAAAGGAGAAGTAAACCGACAAGCCCTTGAAGTTACTGGACTTGTTCTGTAGAAGTGGTTCTCAGGTCCCGCAGCACTTGGGTAGGAGAGCTATTTCAGGGGTAGAGGGTACGTGTGTATGTGTGTAATTGCAATGTGAGAAACGCTGCTCTGGAGGACAGCAGGAAATAGAGGGCTAGACCCAATACAAAGGCTTCTCTTCACGCTGCCTGCACGCTGCACATGTGCAAAAGCAAGGCCTGAGGTGGCCGTGTTGTGGGACCAGAGTTAGAGCCACACAGGCAGGCGAGCTGCGAGGGGAAGGCGCACTCACAGTGGTGTGTGTCTAGATCCCTGGCATTCCCAAAGCAGAGAAAAGGACCTTTGGGAAGTGCAGGCCACTACAAAACCCATCAGCCTCAAGCTTAAACATCTGCCAAAGGTCTCGTGCTTTTTAAAAAAATTAAATTAAATTAATTAATTATTATTATTATTTTTTTATTTTTGGCAGAACCAGGGATTGAACTTAGGCCCTTGTGCTTGCCAGGGAAGCACTTATTCCACTGAACCATCTCCCCGGCCCCTAATGCTTTTATTTTTTTAACGTTCATGCCTACTTTTTTTTTTTTTGCCATAATTTTATTGATAAACAAATAGCAATGAGACAGTTTCAAATCAAATCAGTAGGACAGTTTCAATAATTAACACACTGCATACATTCTTCTTAGTGGTTAATTGCTGTACAAGATGCAGACTCGACATCCTATTTACAAACACCATTAGAACAAATCACCTGAACTGCATAGTGAGACCCAATCTCCAAATAAAATACAAATTAAAAAAAAAGTAGGACCTACTATGCAGTTCAGGTTGGCCTTGAGCTCACTTTGTAGTCCAGGCTGGCCTCAAACTCACAATGATCCTCTTGTCTCAGCCTCCCAAGTGCTGGGATTACAGACATGCACCACCATGTCTGTCTCTACTTTGTATTTTGTCTCCTAATGTAGCAATGCCTGATTAATATTGAAATGATACTTTTATAGTTTTGAGACAGTCTTACTATGTATTTCAGGCTGGCCTTGAACTCATTATGTAGCCCAGAGTGGTTTCGAATTCATGGACATGCTCCTCCTGCTTCCGCCTCTCTAGTGCTAGGATTACAGATGTGTGCTACTATACCTAGTTAAATTAATATCTTAAAGTACTTATTAGTGAGGAAAAAATTCAATAAATGAGTTCCCCCATGTCTTTTCTTTGGCCTGTGTAACATCAGCCGGAGGAGCTTAGATCTGGAAAGTTCTCAATAATGCCATCTCTGGGTATCAGCCCTTTGGCTTCACCATATGAAAACCTTGTGGACTCACAATAGTGGAAGACATCTGTGCTTCCAAATGACAATCTGTCTTACTACGGGAGTCTCCTTCCTCCCTCCTTCTGTGTCTGGATCTCTCTGTATGCATCTACTTCCCCTGAAGCTACAGCACTGCACTCTGTGACGAAGCAGTAATACATGAAAACTGGTGCTGGGAAGAAGTAGCCTCCAAGCGCTGTAAATCCTCACCGCCAGGAGAAGTTTCCTGCTGGACTTCATGATCCCTACGATGGCTAGGACAGACAGGCAGAAGAGGCAGATGCCCACGAACATGCCGATCCAGGCGGCCGCGTAGATGTCATCATTGTTGGTGGCTTCAAGCAGAGGATAGAGACTGTGTTGGTCAGATACAAAGAAAATGCACTCTGCAGTCAGGGCAATGCCGCACATCTGGGAGAAAGTCAAGAACAGGTGGTGTCAGGTGGGTGGCCTGCAGCATAGCATGGGTGGGAAGTGGCGATGGGTGGGTGAGAGAGATGGTCTCCCTCCCCAGAGCAGGCTGCGTGCAAGGACAAGCTCCTCATTCCCAGGGAATCAGGCAGTTATTTTCATCCTGTAACTTTCTTCTGGGACACCTTCTATGTGTCTCCCTATCTTACTATTTAGGGGAAAAAATCTAGGCAATTTCAGACCACCCATAAATTTTGAGGGGCATGAACTACTTAGATGGTGACGTCTCCTATGAGGTTCTCTCCCCTCCCAGTCCTGCCCTTCCTTTCTCTTCATCCCATTCCTGGATTATAATATTGGAAGTGGCTCTGGTTATAGTTATCAGTGAGCGCTGGAGGTTTGGGGTCATTATCTCCCCAGTGTCCATGAATGAAGCAGCCCTGAAGGGTGACAGATTTATCCAAAGTCACAGAGAGAGTCAGGACGAGCTGGGCAGAGGTTGGCTCTCTTCATTTTCAAATAAGTGCTTTCTCTGCATGTCTCCCATGCCCATAACAGCTTGGCTCCTGAGCCACCCTCACCCCCTGGGTCTGGCCTCTGAATGTAAGAACAAGAAGATGTAGGTTTCTTCCTTGTTAACTTGAATCTCAGAGCATTTAAATCAAACCAAGGTAAATCAGCAAGAAGTGCTGAAGTGTATGTGGATGCAGTGTGTGTTTGTGTGTGTGTGTGTGTGTGTGTGTGTGTGTGTGTGTATGTGCAGCAGACACGTGTGAACACAGACCATGGTAGACACAACTCCTTTTAGATGCTTATGTTTTAAAGTTGGAAGGGAAATTTCTACTACTTTGCATCATGGGCTTCTGACATATTATTCAGTTATATATGATTATTTATATAGTTAAATCATAGTGAGCATATTTACTATCACCTCTCTTAGAGGGAGGAAAACACAGGGAACTAGAAGCTGTATCATACTTGCCTTGAAGCTCTCACTTATTATTTAATCCCAAAGCATGCTAATGGGAAGAGCAAAATGATCTGAAAAATTCTTAATACTTACACCAACAATCACATGTCCAAAAATCAGCAGGCCTTGGAAGCAGTGAACCGTGGAATCGTCTTTAGCCATCTTCAGAATTTCTCGCAAGCTGAAGATGCAGTTGAGGAGATTATACTTTCATGGGAAAAATATTGCCATAATTTCCCTAATATGACTAAACCAAGTCACTGTATATTGCCTTTTGGTGTCCCAAAGCATTCAAATCAAGGTCATATAATCTTTCAATAAGGAAACAAATTTGATTACTAAGGTCAGTCATTGCAGTAGCTTTATAAAGAAGAAAAAGAAAAAAAGCCTTCCAGAGTGGTCAGCACCTCTCAGGAGTTCTTTAAGGTCTGTTGCATGTAGGATGCTGACATCTAAGATGATGGCTGAGGCCCTGCCAGAGCAACAAGGACATGAAGAATAGAGCTGGGGCTGGGGAGATAGCTTGGTGGTCTAAGCGCCTGTCTGGCAAGAGCAAGGACCCAGGTTTGGTCCCTGGCACTGCATGCCATGCCAGCCACTGAAAACAGGCAAATGCCTATAATCCCAGTGCTGGGGAGGCTGAGACATGAGAATCACTATGAGACTGAGCTGCATAGTGAGACTCTATACCAAATCAATCAACCAATCAATCAAAAAAAAAGTATAGAGCTGAGGTTCTAGTGGCTGGATGTGGCTGATGGTCACAAAAGTTCTCGATATAGACCCTGGCCAGGGCAAACTGAAGCCCAAAGGTTAAGCTTACAGAGTTCGTGGTTGCCAACCCTGGCCACAGAGAGAACAAATACATATATTTTCTCTGTTTAGAAGACTGTCTTACAAAGGTGACCAACTTCAGCCTCCTTTCTTTACTCGCTTCTCCAGGTTCTTGCCTGCTTGGCCCACTGAAGCTACACCACTCTGCATATTTCCCCCATTCCAGAGTTGCAGCTGTACTCTTCCAGGAAGCCTGTCTCAGTGTATCATAAAGCTGGAGCTCTCCCTCCTGCTCTCGGGGCTGGAATTCTTGAAAGTAAAAGATGTCATGTGAAGTCAAAGGCAAGGTGAGTGTTTTACAGCTGCTTCTTGGTCACTTGTAGTTGAGGCTAGGTTGATTTTTGGCGAATCCCCCAAAGAGCCACAGCAGTCAACAGAGACCCAGATGTAAGCTTCCTGCAGCTCTGGTCTGGTCTCATCTTGCTGCAGTGTGCTCTAATGTGGAGCATTCTGAATGTGGTATCAAAGGCCAGTGCTCAAGTCCTAGCCTTGCTGTCTTTACTGTGTTCCTCTGGGGTGGCTGTGGGCATGAGGAGCTATGCTGCTACGAGCATAAGTCATCTGGGGCACAATGGATGCACTCGGACCCTGTCCTGCTGATTGGAATAAATGGAACACACAAGCTTCATATTGCATAATTTCTCTTTTACAAAGAGCCCAAAGTATAAGCAAAGAGCAAAATAATGGATGGATAACAGGAATCAGGAAGATAGATGTCTTACAAACAGGAAAGAGGTCTAGAGATGGAGGGGAGGGGAAGGGAAAGGGAAATGACAAGAATTAAGATGTATTATGTTGTACGTGTACTGATTCCCTGTGGTCAATGTATTCACTATGTACTGCAAACATTCACTAATGAAAAATTTCATTTTAAAACATGAACAATCTACTTCCTCATACATAAAGTGAATAGAACACAACCTGTTTGATGGGATTGTTGTGATCACCACATGAGATACAGAAAGTAGACGTGACTGGCAACCAGAAAGTTTGTGTACAGACACCAAATGTTACTAATAATAGCCAATGGGTGCTTAAGAAGAGCAGGGTGTTGGGTTACAGTTCTGCTTAGAGGCCCTTGGGGCACGGGATAGAGGTTCTCAGGGTGACCGCTCTGGCTACTGCTCCCTCTCCTCCTGTCTACTGTCTCTTTGTTCCCTGCCTGGGGACTGCTCTGCCAGCAGTATCTGCAGGCCTTGCACAGAGTACCCATTTGTACTTCTAGGTTGAATTAATGGACAGAACTTTTTCTCTGTGAAAAGAGAAAGTGCTTCCTAGTTGAGCTGAGGTGTGGCCAGAGACGGTACAGAGCTGTGTGGTCCTGGAGGAGAGCCCTCTGCAACATTCTGATCCACATTCTTGAACAGCCAGCTTCTGCCTGGGGATTCGTCTTTCTGGCTTTGGTCTGTGCTCCAGACTTTGAAGGGATACAGAGATACCCTCTGAGACTTTCCCCTCTGCTTTTGTATGTGCATGCAACACATGTAAATTCTGGGTTTTTTTTTTTTTTTGGTCCCTTTCTCCTCCCTCAACCCTTCAGAATTTGGTCAGTCCTACAAGATTTGGTCAGCCTCAAACATTTCATTCTTCTGGTCAGTGAAAGAGAGGCTGGATAACCCAAGGGACACTGCCAGTCAAGCAGAAGACCCAGTACTATTATGGACTACTGGACTCTTTTAGAATATTTTGCTGAGTTAACACACCTATAATATTCAAATGATATAACAAAACAGAAAAGGGTATACAGATGAATGTCCATTTTGTATCTGTGTTTTCAAAATGGTTAGGATAGATATATAGTTACATTCTCTTAATGAATAGAGGGATTTGTTCTAATAGTGTTTGTAAATAGGATATCATGTCTGCATCTTGTACAGCAAATAACCACTAGGAAGAGAGTATGCAATGTGTTAATTATTGAAACTGTACTACCGATTTGATTTGAAACTGTCTCATTGCTATTTGTCTCTCAATAAAATTATGAGAAAAAATAAAAAAGATAAAGCAACAAAACAAAACAAAATGAAACAAACAAACAAACAAACAAACAAACAAAAACAAAGTTCCAAGGCCTGAGGTGTATTCAGGACAGTACTGGCTCCTTCCCAGACCTCAGCTCCCCTGGAGCATCTTCTGTTGGGGTCCCTTCTTCCACTGCCACCTATTGAGCTCTGCCAGCTTCTGATGCTCAACTGAAAAATCTCTTCTTTCCAATAGCCCTTGTCTAGAATTAACCTTCCTTCCTTAGGACTCTTCTCCTCCCAATTTGAGCAAGTATTTCTCTAGGGGAGCTAAAGCCATATCCTATTTGGAAGACACACTGTTTGGCTTTTTTTCCTCTGCTATTAGCCTCTGCCACCATTAACCTGGCCTGGTACTTCATTACCTCTATTCTTTACCCAAATTAGTTTAAAGTGATTGCAAACCAACAAAAGAATAGATTTGTCTATAGTTAAAAAGCCACCATGACAAAAGAATTGTATTTCTAAAATTTTAATGTTTATTAGTATATGGTGAAGAATTGTATTTAAAAAGAAAAATGATAAATTTTAAGATGGAGTGTCATGCCCATGAGTCAATGAGTACATTCTGGGAGTCTTTGTCTTACTCGGAAGATATGTAATTAGGGAGGAATTAAGGCATCATTTATGTTGGAGTCATTTTGGACCATATGTTCATCTGTGGCATGAAAGGACATCAGCTCTGGCTGGTGGGAGAAACGAGGAGGGGAGGAGAGGAGAGGGAGAGTGGGAGGATCTGTATTTGGGCCCCTCCTTTAACTACTGGCCTTGCCTTGGGTAGAGACTGACTCTTAGTGATGCCTTACATTTTCCTCCCTGCCTTTCTTTAAGCCCACAGTACTAGGGATTGTTCAAATGCAAGTTCTTCTGAAATTGTTTTTTGTTGCTGCTGTGTAGAGCTAGCTTTGCCTGGCTGGACTGGAAAGGGAACAAGCAGGATGAGGAGAACTTAAAAAATGAGAGCAGGCTGCCTGCCTAGAGCAAAGAAGTGGCTGTCCACGTCAGGAATCACACTGCTGCAGATTCATGTGGGCAGCTCACCCTAAATGCTTTCCATGTGAGCCCCACCTTGTGGAAAAATCTTCCACCACGGCGATGTGCTCGGATTGCTCAACACCTTGGGAGTTTCTCTGCTTTGACAAGTGCAGATTTTTTTAAAGGCTAGAGCGATTTACTCCTTGCTTTTTTCCTCCCTTGTGCATTCATTCAGTTTGTTTTCTTATAAAAATTACTCACGTCCAGAACATTGATGTTTCCAGACACACTCAATAGGTCTCAAAACAATTACTCACTAAACAAACCACTTTTCAAGGCAGAAGAAAGAAGCAGCAAGACTCCCCCACCAAGCGTGAGATCACCTCAAGTTCATTACCCCTTATCTTTACCCAAGTTATTTTTTTTTTTTACTTAGAGAACACACCTACACCTCAAACTCTACTCATGCTAGAAAAATCTGAATTAACAAGAACAAAAGAATAAATGGGAGAGGGAGAAAGGAGAAGCATATTACGTTGTTCTCTTAGCTCTGAGCCTCAAGCTGAGGATGAGGGCAGACAGTTGCATGAGTTAGGGTATACAGATGGGCGTGGAGATTTCAGGTCAGACAATTGATGTCAGCTGAAGTTTAGGGTGCGATGAGTCCTTGATTATGATGAACAGAGAGCTTGCTCCCATGGCCGTGACACCCACAGACCACAGTCCTCATCAGTTTTATCTATTTATTTGTTTATTTTTTCTTTAAAACTCTCTAAGTGCACAGACCAATATGGTAACTAGTACATGATGTTATTTAAAATCAAATGAATTCAAGTTAGTAAAAGCCAAAATCCAGTTCTTTAGCCATTCTAGCCACATTCCAGGTCCCTTCCACCTATATGCGGTAGGCAGGGGTCATGTTCAGGTAGAACATTTCCAGTGTCACAGGAAATTCTGTAACATATGTTGCTCTAGGTTTCCTGTGATGACCACAGTCACCCACCACTTGAAATCATGGGCCAAGTGTGCAGTGGCCTGGGTGTTCACATGTGTGGCAGTGCCAGTGGGGAGCATGGCTCTGGGCAGGAATTGGTGGGGACCCCGGGGGAGCTTAGATCAGGGCACCTCCTTGTGCTGCTGTGGTCTCTGTCCTAGAGAAGCAGTGGCACCCAGCAGGTTTGTGAGTGGCCTACAGGGCCATCAGGCCCAGATTCCAGAGCAGGTTATAGCAGTCCAGAGCTCACGGGTGTTTGCTCTGCTACTCTGCATAAAGACGGACAAATTTGAGTGACTTGTAGGAAAACAGATGCACCTCGAGAACAGACTGCCAAGTGAAATACATCAGACACGCAGGCTTAACTGTCGCATGGTTTCTCTTAAAGGAAAAGCCCAAAGTATAAATAAGAAGCAAAATAAAAAATAAAAGGAAACAGGGAGACAGATGTTTTGTCAAATGGGAAGGAGAGAAGAGATGAGGGGAGATGAGAGGAGCAGAGGGGGGTGAAAACAACCTGAGATGTGGTATGTGCATGGTCAAGTGCCTCCGAAGAAGGTGGCCAGTACGTCCTGCAAGCATGTGCTGATGAAAAATGCACTGAGAGAAAGAACGAGAGCAGAGAGATAAAAAGGACTGACAGTTCATCTGTTTTTCTTGACTAAACAGTCTCCAAGTTCTGCTTTGTATTTAAACATCTGAGTCTTCCCAGATAGATTTTTTTAAAAGATGAATTGATTTTAAACTTATTACAGCAGAAAGAGAAACAGTGTAAGCATGAAGTGAAACAGAAAATTATCTCCTTATTGGGAGGTTAATCAAGAGAAAAATCTATTTCCTTAAAAACTTTGAAAACTACAGAATCAATTACATGTAAGTGAAGTATGTACTAAAAAACCCAAATAAGTTCTTTCTGTTGTGCTTGTCACCTCTGTTGAGGCAATAAATGGTCATAAACATCGTTATCAGTTTGAAAAAAAACATTACAATCAGCACAAATTCTTAAATACCTTAAAAATCTTTAAAGCTATCTAGAAGTAAGGTTTTAGGTCTACAAACATAAACAAAAATATAGTTATAAATAGCTTTAGCATGATTAGAAACTTAATCTTTTGTTTAAAACAGAACAAAAATATGTTAGGACCTGTGGATCATAGGGAATCAACTAATTGGTGAAGAGGAAAAATAAGCCACGTGAGAAAAACACTGTGTGAAGCGAATTTGTTGTCTTTCTTCGCCTGGCACATTTATTACGCAAAGCTGTGGAGAAGAGCCACGAGTGAATCGCTCCACTATCCGACTATGACTTGCCAAGACCAAGTGATTTCTGACAAGATCGGGAAGATTTCGCTCTCCTAGGCTAAAGGACAGATGATTAAGAAAGAACATGACCATTCCCTTACACTTTCTGGTGTTTTTCAAAATCCACATTTAGGAAGTCAGGGGTCTGTCAAGGTGTCTATCCATCTGCTATTTAATTAGGGGCACAGGGAGCTTCCCCAGGATTCTTGGGTATTTCCTGGTCTTCCTGTAGAGGAAATTTTAAGGTTGGCATCAGTACACCTAGCCCTCCCAGAAGTTTAATCTCAGTTCTGAGTACCAGACAACAATATCAAAGGTTCTAAGAAAACAATTTGTATAGGTCAGAATAAGGTCAAGCAGAGCAATCACGACATTCCAAATTATAAGGAGTTACAAATTCTGTTATCAGCCCCCCTTTTCCACTCAGCCTCCTAGCTTCACTCCTGGGAAAGCAACTCAAACTTCAAACACTAGGCCTGCCTCCTTGTGCATGAAATCAGTCTACTCACAGCTGTTGCTGCCTTGTCGCCTCTTCTTCCTTCTGGTGGTGCACCAGCCCACTCTGCAGCCCTCACCAGCCCAAGGTGATTTTCTGCCCTGCAACAATTTCCTGAGCTTCTGTCCAGAGGCGAGTGGTCTGTGATTGGGAGGAGGCACCTCACATGGGCTGAGCCCGGTGCTGTCTGGACCTGCCTCTCTGAGCAGAGGGAGTTGCAGGAAGCCCTGTGAGCAGACTGCTGCTGCTTTGGAGCTGGTGACCATGACCCGTGCAAGTGCCTCCACAGGGCTGGGCTTCTCACTTCTTCAGATTCCTCCTGAGTCTAGACTTTACCACTAGGGTTCAACTCAGGGTTCTGTTCTTATTTTTTATTTGATTTGCTTTGTTAGTGTGATTGATCTTTGCATCTGCCTTTGCATATGAAAAGGCCTGTAACTTCTCACTGCTGCTAAGGATGCTGGTACCTGTCTATCTGCCTGGGGTCACATCCAGCTCCAGTTTCTGTGACTTAAATCTGCCATGGTAGGGGTGCTCAAGGTTGAGAGTACAGGGACAGTAACTGCCCCTGCAATACTCATGCTGTGTGTGGGCCAAAGATTAAGTAAGAGCAAGAAATATGGAAGCAAACAGATCAGAAGCAACTCAGGTAAAGAGAGGCTCAGGTGATGACCTGGTGAGGTCCAGTTCCTCTCTTCCTTTCTCTGCCTTCCCTCTTCCCTTTCTCCTGGAGCCACTGTGTGTCACACTCAGCACCAAGAATTTTGCTTCCAACAGGTGGACACCGTGTCACTGAACATTGCTCTGTGAGTCCTTTACCTGATAGCAGGGATGGGTTAGGGCAGCAGTGTTAGCATTTGTTGGACACTCTATTCAATAAACGTGGACTTCTTCAGGGTCAGAATCATTTCTGTCACCAGTAGGTTCTTTGAAAGCAGATGCTGAGACAGTGTGTAGTACAGTGTCTTCATGAGGGAGTACCCTGGGACTCTCTTAGCAGTCCATGGGGGGAGAAGGGATTCAACCTGCAAGCTAAGTGGAAAGGCCTCAGGCACCCCCACCCTGTAACTTCTAGAGGAAGATGGCCGGGCAGGGATCTCCATCGGTGCTTCCATGATGGTCTGTCCTTGTGCATGGGTCATTCTGGAAAGGCAGCTTCTTGAACTGAGGCAGCTCCTGAAGGTGATGGATGCCTGGAAGCTATCCATACCTCCAACAGCAGGGTAACAAGTGCCCCCTGGAGGAGGGACTGCACCAGGTATCTCTAAGTCCATCACCACACCCCATTCCTCTTCAGCTCTCTCTCCAGGGCCTGGTTAGATAAATTACAATAAATCACTGATAACGTGCTATCTAACTTCGATTCACACACTTCCCCCAACATTTCAATTGCATCTTTGGGGCAAGAAGCCATTGGAATATTTTTCTTCATGAACACTGCACTTGGGGAAGGAACCCTTCCCCTCAAATATGCTTTCCAGTGGGGAAGGGAGGCTACTACAGCGCACACTGTGGCAAAGTGGTGGGGGCTGCCAATCTGGAAGTTCTGAATTATGAGTGTGGGTTATTAATTAAATGCCTCTGGTTCTCTGTGGTCACCATTTTCAGGAAGAAGACTTCTCAAGATTCTTAAGGTCCCAGTTCCTTAAAGTCACATGTGTACTCTTCACAGTACTCTGTGAGGAATGCTCTATTACTTGCTCCAGCTTATGGACAAGGGACTGAAGGTCCGCGACCTCCACTGCCTGTGGTTACAGAGATACAGAGATGGCGACTCCTGCTGGTTTGACCTCACAGCCTATACTCTTACTGCTTGAGTATAACTGATGGTCAGTAACTTTTAAAAGATACTAACTTTTAAATTACCAATGTGATTTTTCTATTAGCTGCTTAATTAAATTAGTAGAGAATAAAGTATTATTCTAGAGGTACATAGGAAGCTGCCTTCTGTAAAATTTGCTCTAGAGTAAGAAAGCCAGAAAAGTCAGGCTCTTTGAAGAGCAGAATAAGTTACTGATCAGAGCTATGCTTCTGTATTAAAAAATGATTGTGCCTATCCCACAAAAACCATTCGAAGTAGCCTTGTGCTCAATTGTCTAGGGCCTCTTAAAATCACTTTTTTCCAGTTGGCCTTGATTTTCTTTGCAAATTTTCTTGAAATATATAAATTTAGTTTTTTTGAATTGTCATATATTTTTTCTCTTAACAGTCCTTTATTCAAAATTAATTGTAATTCCCATGTTCCCTTTACTTCCTATAGATGACAAATGCTTAACTTAGGTATATGTTTTGATTATGGTGACCACAAGATGACTTCTTAAGGCATGAATAAATCTTTTCCCTGAAAGTAATATCTTAGCATTAACAAACTCTTACACTCAGGAAGGGCTGTAGTTTGTTTCAGTGATTCTTTATGATTATACACAATTATTTTATGGAAGAACCATACTCCAGTAAAATCATTCTCATGGTGGTTAGGGTGGAGTATCAACTTGATTGGCGTTAGGATCCACCTGAATTACCGGTGCAATGCACGCAAGGGTGTTCTGAGTGGGTCACGAAGGCATGGCACTGGGCTGACGTCTGGGTCCTCAGCGCTTCCTCTCTGGCACTGCATCCTGCTCTGCTTCGCTGTTACCACAAACTGAGCATCTCAGCTGCCCTCCCACTGTGGTGCTTCTGCTGGGAGCCAGCTGTCAACTGAGCTCCTCCAAATGGAATCAAGTGCCAGGGAAATAGCTCAGCAGCACAAGTGCTTGCCTGGCAAGTGCAAGTTTGATTTTGATCCCCGGTACCACAAAAGCAAAAACAAACAAAACTTGAGACAAATCAAACCTCTCCTTTAACTTGCGTGTGTCGGGCATTGTGTTCATGCGGTGAGGAAGCTGACTAATATAAAACTTTAATCCAGTGTTTCACCCAGTAAAAGAAAGCCTCTGCAATGCCGCTGACACCTGATATTGAAATGCATTTCTATTAAACTTGCACTTATTGGAGAGAGAGCCTTGAGGATGTTATGTATGACGTTATAATTTGGTTATAAGTGGACCTGAAAAAAAAACCACCTCTGGTCTAGGTATTTAAATGGATTGCACTTCTCCAAAGCAACTAGCCATGCTTTATCTGAATTCTGTAAGTCATTGATCAAATGCATTCCTGCTTCCATCCCCACCATTGCATTTGGAACTGCTTGTCACGTTGCAGGCCCTTGTTTTTCCAAATTCAGGAGACACTCCTTTGTTTTCCTTGAGTCACTAAGCAGCAGGGGATGCAGCACACCCCTCCATTCATCCTGCGATACTTCCTTCTCATTGCTTCTATAGTATCATATTCTCCTTGTGCTTCTTCTGTTTCTCTGGCTACTCCTTCCACTGCTGTCCCTTCCTTGGCCTGACCAATCATCGTAGAAGAGGCCAGCCCTTGGGTGGAGCTCTCAGTTCTGATGCTGGAACTGTCCTTCCCCAGGAGGTGCTAGCCCCCACCTCTTCCCTCATTTCCATTATGTCCGGGTTAGACATTGAGAAAGGTGATGCGGGTTTGTCTAAATTCAAGGGACACAGTGTAGTGTGGACTACATAGAGAGATCCTGTCTCAAAAAGTCAAAAACAAACCAAAATGTCCCAGGCTTTTTATAATAAACATGAATATGTACACATGTACACACACACACACACACACACACACACACACACCCAGGATCAACTCAGTGGTACTCTGCCACTGAGTTAGGCCTACAGGCCATTTTGTATTTTAATTTTGCGACAAGATCTTGCTAAATTGCCCAGGTAGAGCTTGAACTTGAAATCACCCTACCTCAGCCTCCCTCCGAGCTGGGATTACAGGCACCCACATACCACTACATCCAGATTATATACTTTTACTTTAAAAAAAGGTCTTGCTTATTAAGTACTGGACGTGGAAGACTCTGCATTGTAGTTTACACTTACCCTCTAACTTGAAAGGTTCTGAGAATTTTAGGAGTGCATTTCAGCTGTTGCTGTGTCCTTAAACAGTTCAAAGGTCCCCTTTGTACTCAGTCTAAGGCCCAAGTGCCTCCCTGGGGCTCACCGATTGCCCCGTATTCAGCTCAATATACACCAGGTACTGCTTTGTCCTCTGTGTAATCCAGCCATGTGGGTTGCACATAGCCGTTCTCTTCAGTGGGAACCGGTTCCCCCCCAGCTGCCAGGGCTGACCCCCAGTGATGGGGTACACTGCTCTCCCTGCCTCTGCAGCTCCTCCTGAATGCCCCCATATCCTGAGGGGCCTGAGAGACCCTGTGCTGTCCACTGTAGTTACTTTCCCTCACATCACCTTACTTTGTGTTTCTGTTCTAAAAGGAAGCAAATCTGGTATTGTTTACTTGTTGTCTTTCATTCTTTGCCCTTGCTAACAGATTAGAATTTTTTTTTCCTTTTTTTATGTATTCAGTACTGGGTCTACAGGGTCTCGATACATAGATCAGACTCATAGTGATTCTCCTGTTTTCAACCTCCCAAGTGCTGGGATTACAGGCTCTCAATCGCTGTCTCAGTGCACCCCGGGGTGGGGCCTGCGCAGCACGCCTGGGATCGAATCCTGGTCTCTGTGTCTGCCTGAGCAGGTGCTTTAATCTGCTGAGCTATCTGGCTGGCCCTGGTTAGAATAGTTTTGAAAGGATAAATAAATTTCTGATTTGGGTATTTTAGATTGAATTAGTTCTAGTCAGTCTTGGAATAAACAAGCAAGCAAACAAACAAATTCAAAAATCACCACTGTTAAGTAAAGCTTGAGAAGAGACAAAACTGTGAGAAAGGTGCCAGTTACATGAAAATTTCTGGATTTCTAAAATAATATCATTGGGCCAGTGAAATAATTTAGGGACTAAGCTCCTGCTTAGGCAAGCACAGAGATCGGTTCGATCCCCAGCAGCACAGGCCTTGCCGGCCCTGCACCCCTGCGTGCGTTCAGTCAGCTGCTGAGACCGGACATGGTGGTGCACGCCTGTAATCCCAGCTATAATCCCAGTGCTGGGGAGCCTGAAAACAAGAGGATCACTACAAGTCTGAGTAGGGAGACCCTGTACCAAATACATGGACAAAATGCCATAAATTATTCTCTGCTTTAAAAATAACATTACTTTACTCTGCTGGGAAACAAATGCATGTTCGTTGTACAGACTAGTTACCTGTATTTCCTTCCCCAGTGAT